AAAGAGATATACGGATCAGAGAAAGAATTTGTGAGTATTTATATGTGCATCGACTTTCAAATGTCCACAAAATATAAATCAATGTACATGCATTCAATAAAAGCATATCATTGTCGTCTTAAAATGGCTAAGACGTATACTATGTATTTTTGGAGCTAACACCCTTGATTTGTCTCTAAAAAACGAGTTTCCGGATATGGTACCCATGGAGACATTTGATCAGTATGTTACGAACTATCGATTTGTCAGTGTAAGATTTAAATTAACCGAAAGTATTTTTCCATTGGTTTTGCGCGGGGTTTTTTCATTCATTTTATTATAATTCGGTCACACAGAGAGCACGACTTTTCATTTTAATGGATAGACGTAACAAATAGAAAAAAATTACGCAGTGAAAGAGTTAAAAAAAATAACTATAGTTTGGAAAAAGCGTAAAATACGTAAAAAAAATAGATAAAAGTGGCGACGATAAATCATATGATAGGATTCGATATCTAGTACCAAACATTTTTTGTCTTATTCTTGAGCATTTTTTCGAAGTTTTCCAGAGTTTTTCATCTCGAAAAGTTTTGATGTACGCACCTTAAAAATCACTTGAAAATCACTAAAAACGCCATGTGCCTGTGATTTTACTGATTTTGACTGGCTGTAAACTGTAATATTTTTTGAGCTGCAAAAAAGGTCGGGATCGCATTTTCTTTGTCTTTTCAAGAGCTATTCAAATCTGTAATTATAAGATATAAAATATTGAGTTCAAACAATTCTACAGGTCTTGAAAGATGAGCAAAAGTCGTGAAAATCACGCTGCAGTTAGAAGCCTCTAGGTTGTTTGGTATTTAAAATATCTATAACTTATATTACTTTGTCGAAAATCTCTTGAAAAGACAAAAAAATGCGACCCCGCTCGTTTCTCTAGCTCAAAAGTTCGAGATTTGAAAGAGGTTTGAATATAGGCCGAAAAACGCCTAAAATAGGCCTTTTTTGACCTTTGAAACTGTCCTGAGGACGTACTTTTTGAACTAGGGAGCTGAAATTTGAGGCAGTTTCTTTTTTTGTGGTGTAGAATATATATACCAAGTTTCAGCCAAATCGGTTACCATCGTGCGCATGGTTTTTTAAAAAAGTATTATTTTTACCTATATATATATATATATATATGGAGAGAGAAAGAAAGAGTTTACATTTACGTATACACAGAGTAACCAGAGGCTTATTTAGTTCAGAGTAGATACAATTCGCTGAACAATTCTCAAATGTTTCCAAATAAATAATGTGGTACCCCAACGCTCATCTAATCAAATGTAGTACCTTCTCAAATATTTTGGTGTCACTGATTATAAATAAACTAGTCGATGGCGAACGATTAAACTTTCAACAACTATTTCTGTGATGTGTGGTGACAATGGCTAAATCAAAAAAGTTATCAGTGCGGAAACGTAATAAGACTATTACACTTCATGAACTTTAAATTTTATCAACATGTAATTCATTTTTTAAAAGTAAAGAAATATACCTCATCTTTCAGACAATTTTTTTCATTTTTTGTTGCATCATTTATATAGAAAAAACAAGTAAAAATGTTTCTTTTCGAAATAAAATCTGAGAAAATTCCACAGTATTCTATATAGAAAAAGGAATATTTTCTTTTGTGTGCACTTTTTTCTATGATTTGAACTTAGAGAGTTATTTATAGAGAACATTTGAAGAAAAACATAAATTTTCGAGAAAAATGCTCAAACGCAGGTCATATTTGATGTAAATACCTTTTGAATCAGTAATTTAGATAAGATTTGAAAAGAGCAAGAAAATCTCATCATCAAAATTTTCCTGCGATTTTTCCCTAAAATTGGCAAGAGATCAAAAATGTACATAAAAAATCCGAATTTTTATAGATAAATAATCGTTTGAAAAATTAGAAAAACCATTTAATTGTATTCTGCAACCGTAGTCGATTCAATTAATCGATCCGTTCGCGATTCTCTTACTAGCGTGTTTGTTCGAACGATAAAGAGAGAGAAGGCGCGCGAGAGTTTGAAAATAGGCAGTTAAGTCTCAGCTGCTTTCGCGAGAATACCGCCAACTTGTTTCGTACTGTGATTCGCCGTTTCTATTAAAGTTTTCTAGGACTATTTTTTACGTGCGTGAATGCAACAACATTATAGTGACAGCAAGCAGCAGCATTATAGCAACAGCAAATAGCAGCAGATTGGAGAGCGATGCAGCGCAGCTCATCAATTAGAGGAGCCAATTATTATTGACCGTTGATTTTCTTCAACAACAATTACGGCTGATCACCGTAATTGCACCGCAAGGTAGATGCACCTCCCTTTATTATTGCGCGAATTATTTTATTACTACTTTCGAAAGTATTTTGTCAATCGCGATCTTAAATTTTTGTATTCGCGCCGAGCGTTAGTTTTCGCGGCAATTTTCGAATTCTGTCTTTCTCTCTCTCTCACCAAATATTAATAATTAATTGTGAATCCTATTAGTGTGCGTTAGTCTTTCGGCCCATAAAAGACTGTAGTTTTTATTGATTAAACTTTGTTAATTTTATTCGCCGTTTACGTCATTTCGTTTCCTATTAGCTTAATCGATCTATAAAGGCCTGTTCAAAAAGAATCGCGAATTTTGTATGTTTTTAACAATTATTTATTTATTCATGAATATCTATCTTATCTCCTTCAAAGTAATCCCCCTCGGATATAATGCACTCGTGCCAACGTTTTTTCCAATCTTTGAAGCACTTAAAAAAATCATTTTTTGTGATCTTGTTCAGCTCCTCCTTCGATGCCATCTTTATCTCCTCAATCGTGGCGTAGCGTCGTTCTTTCATGGGCCTCTTCAGTTTTGGGAACAGGGAAAATCACAGAAGGCCAGATCTGGGGAATACGGTGGCTGTGGTACCATTACTGTGTTGTTTTTGACCAAATATTCGCACACAAGCAATGATGTGTGAGCAGGGGCGTTATCGTGCTGCAAAAGCCAGTTTTCGTTCTTCCACAAATCCGGACCTTTCTGGCGGATTGCTTCGCGGAAATTGCGCCTAATTTGCAGGTAATATTTCTTCTTGATCGTACTACCCTGTGGCAAGAACTCATGATACACCACGCTTCTGTAATCGAAAAAAACTGTGAGCAAAACCTTCACGTTCGACCGAACTTGGCGCGCTTTTTTCGGTCTTGGCTCATGCGGCAGCTTCCATTGGGATGACTGAGCTTTGGTTTCCACATCATAACCATAAACTTATGATTCATCACCAGTTATGATCCTCTAGAACACATTGGGTCGTCACGGACCGAGTTCAACATCTTCTGAGCAATGTTAACGCGATGCTGTTTTTGATCGAAATTGAGCAGTTTTGGCACGAATTTCGCGGCGACCTTACTCATGCCTAAATCATTGGTTCAAATCGAATAGCATGAGCCATTTAATATGTTTAGATCCTCAGAAACTTCTGTAACAGTTATTCGGCGAATGGCCAATATTATTTTCTTCATTTTATCAATGTTTTCGTCTGTTGTTGACATGCTCGGGCGTCCGGCACATTGTTCGTCGTTCATATCTTCTCGGCCCTCTGAGAACAATTTGTACCATCGATAAACGTTGCTTTGATCCGAGATAGCTTCACCATATGCCACAGTCAACATTCCGAATGCGTCCGTGCACTTTATTTTGTTTTTCACACAAAATTTAATACAGATTCTTTGATCCATATTTTAGAATAGACATAAATCGAAGACGAGCCAAAACACATCCAAGCAAAACAGTTGTCAAAAATTAACTAAACATTCAAAATAGCCGACCTTGTCAGCATAAGTAAGGGACATGAGTACCAACATAACGCTACAAAAAAATCAAAAAGCAAATTTACGTAACCTGCGAAAATTCAAAATTCGCGATACATTTTTAACAGACTTCGTATTGTAACTAATTTATATAAAAGAGCTATTTTCCTTTCGCATGAAGATTTTTGCACAAAAATTCAATCAAAAGTACTAATATTCTAAAGTAGAATGATTACCTGCAAAATCCATAGAAAAATGTATTACAAAAAGAAAGATATTTCACAGATTTAGAAATCGAAACGAAGAAATGGCATATAATTTTAAGTTGAACTGTTCAATAACAGCTGTTTCTATCTCATTCTTTAAAGATTTTCATTATGATTGTAAACCAGCGTAAAATAAATATAATATTCTTTATGTTTCCTTAATGGAAAAATTAGATAATGTGATTAAATTGGGTAAAGATCGAAATTCTAAATGACAAGAGATCGGAGTTTTATACAAATTTAATTGTAACGACTGCAACTTTTTTCATATTGGAGAAAGTAAGCGATCGTTAAAAACTAGAATTAACGAAAATAATAAAACAATCGATAAAATTACAGAAACAAAAAAGTTAGATGAACATGTTTTAATATCAGTTCTGAAAAATATTTTTGAGGATCCAAGTGATAGTTTTGATTTTCAAAATATTATTATAGAATTATTGATAGAGAAGATCTTAAAAAAAGATGGATTTCTGAATGAATATAAAATAAACTAGATATAGGATCAATAAACAAGAAGTTATAAAATTTTTTACCTCTCAATATATTGGTATTTTGCCATTTATAAGACCATCTTACATTAGTAGATTAGTATTACTTTCTGCATTGATAAGATCCTTACTCCCACTTTTATCCCTTTCAGTGTCGTTGCTATTTGAAATGATAGTTTTCTCTCTACTGTAATTGAGTATCATTCGTCATTTTATTAAGATTGAACAAACCTTCGAACTATTTTCTCTGTGATCATTAATTATATAATACAATGTTTTATATAAAAGAAACATTTATTTTAAACTATGACGAGGTGACTGTGTTTCCACTAATGAGATTATCTGAATTTTGACGAATATTTTGTATTGTAAGTGTTAATTGTTTTTTGCTATATTTGTAAAATTAATATTTTGTATTTAATATATTGTATAATAAATTTAATACCTGATTAGACTGCAAACATGGGTGGCGAAACATTGCGCAACTTATAAAGAGAACTTGTTTTAATTTGATGACTCACCTATTCCACATCAATTTTTGTCGAATTATTGTGCAATGAGGGGTACTAATAATAAATATAACATTATACCTGAGTTTTATGCAAGTCATCTCCTTCTAAGAATAATTCGCTAATTTTATTTGCTTCATCTGTTAATGCTTTCTTATGATGTCTGACACTACCTTTTATTTATCTTAGCGTAACTAGATAACCATCTAGAATTCCGTGTAATCCATCTAATGATTTAGCCTAAATTTGACAAAAAATCATTGATTATGATAAATTAAACTATTTCATTCAAATACATAGCATTTTTATTCATGATATTGTAAATTTGATGTTATTATTTTATTTTTATTGTTTCGTTATTTATATAAAAGTGTAATGGGGTAAAATAAACTTACACAAGGATCTTTTTCCTTTCTTTTGCCATTGCTATCCAACGCACCCAATGATGGGTAAGTTTGGCCCATTTGGTAAGCCAGTTTGACTTTATAGTAATACTTTGGGTATCTAAAAAATAAAAGATATACTGTTTAGATTTTATATCTGTAACGAAAATTTTCAAGTCGAATCATCATTGGCCTTTGAAATTTGACCAAATGAACCAAAGCTAGATGCTTTAAGAATTATATTATTTCACACTATTCATAGTGAAATTACAAAATTTTAAAACGACATTACAGTTGCATGCAAAATTATCCGGCCAATCATAATTTTATAATCAACTGTGGTTGAAATAGAAGTTAGTATAAAAAGATAACTTTCATATACCATTATAAAGTACATTTATTGTGCTGCATTACTACATAGTTAAATAATTAAATATAACAATCAATAATTATTTATAACAAAAAAAAATATTTGATACTTCATAAATATCCGGTCAAAATTTATAAAAGTATTTATTAATCTGGAAATAATGTGTTTTGCTCTGTGTGATATGTAAACATTGAGTACACTATTTATTCTGTATTATCCGATCAGTTATCATTCGCCAAGATGCCGAAACGGACGTCATTAGACAAATGTGAATTGGTTTTGAAACTACACAATGATGGTAAAACTTCACGTGAAATATTAGCAACTTTGGCTACGGGAAAATCAATAGTTAAATATACTCAAAAAACTTGAGACTACCGGTATTGTAGAAGCTAAACGCAATCCTGGACGACCTAGAAAAACGACTCAGTGTATTGGAAAAGTGATAAAAGAAAAGCTGGCTCATATGTGAAGAAAAATGCTGATATTATTGCACGTGAATTATGTGAAGAAAATGTAGCTGACATTAGTCAAAGTACGGTGTCTCTAAGACTGAAACTTTTTTGACGAGTTGGCTTTAAAAAACCATTGATCAGTAAGAAAAATAAGAAGGCCAGACTAGAATTTGCTACAGAAAATCGGAGCTGAACTGTTGAGGACTGGAAAAAAGTGCTGTTTTCGGATGAAACTAAAATCAATTTATTTGGAAACGATGGAAGAAGATATGTTCAACAACCTAAAGGTATTAGAAATGATCCACAATATCAAACACCAACTGTAAAACATGATGGCGGAAACATCATACTATGGGGAGCTTTCTCTTGGAAAGGCATTGGTCCAATTTTCAAAATTGATGGCATTATGGACTCTACCAAGTATAGGCACATTATATTAGATGTAATGCTGCCTTATACACGTAAGAATATGCCACGAGCATAGATCTTTTAGCAGAATAATGATCCAAAACATCGATCACAGCTCCTTCAACAAGTTTTCAATCAGAAAAAAGTCCGAGTTTTAGAGTAGCCAAATCAATCTCCAGATGTAAATCCTATAGAACACTTATGGTAAGAATTAAAATTAAGAATAGGAACTGAAACTTGTGCAAATAAAGCTGATTCGTGGGAAAAAGTTCAAGAAGAGTGGCAAAATATCTCTCAAGAACGAATTATAAATTTGATTGAATCGATGCCTCACCGATGTGCTACCGTGATATCTGCAAAGGGTATGGCTACTAAATATTGATGAACAACGTAAATCCTTTTATTTAGTTGTAAGTTTTTTGTACATATACTGAGTAATTGCTGTTAGGCCGGATATTTATGAAGTATCAAAAATTTTCGTTTTTGTTGTACATAATTATTGATTGTTATATTGAATTATCTAACTATGTAATGATGTAGCACAATAAATGTACTTTATAAAGGTATATGAAAGTTATTTTATACTATTTATAAAATTATGATTGGCCGGATAATTTTGCATTCAACTGTAGTTCTGTTTTTCACCCGCTTTTTCTTATACTGCTGCACTTTCTTTTTAGACGGCTCTATCTTCAAAATTTCTTCTACTGCTTTGCTGAGTTTCTATATAGTTTCTACCCATGTCTACCTACTCTGAGACTTTTTGGTCCTAGCGTATGCAAATTCCGGTATCAAGATCGCATTCGCTGTTGGCGGCATTTGAACAAAATTCTGCTAGCAGTATAAAAGTGAACTGATTCACACGAAATATTATTATATCTTGAAGAATGACCTGTAGGTACGATAAATTAGATTTGTGACCTTTCTACCTTTATATAATTCTAGTTCGAGGCACACCCTGCCTGTTAGTATAAAATACATTTTAAAAATAATTTCACAGATATTTTGGATCATACAATACTCTTGAAAAGTTGTTTAAAGTTTTTCCTGAGATCTTTAACTTCAACCTATATTATCAAGGTAATTTGAAGGTTTTGAGGTGAAATACTGAATACTCACAAGATAAGGTTGGAACTCATAAAAAATAATTAGGAAATGATAAAAGTATAAGGCGGCTGTGATTCTATGTTCTCACCTCAACACAACTTTCATGCTTCAAGAACATTTGAAAGTCTGATCTTACTTGATATTTTAAAATATTGTAAATATATAAGATTCGGGGACCATAACAGTGTCAGCTAGCTGTGACTTTATTTTCTTATCTTCAAACAAACAAAAAATTCAGAAAGATCTACTTATTACTTTATAGCTTTTCTTTTTCTCTTAAGTTAATTTTTTATCAGTTTTCTAGGCAGTATATTTTTTAATTGATTGTTTAATGACTTTGCATGAAGAAAATTTTCTCTGAGAGCATTTATCATCTATTCTCATGATTTTTTTTTCAAGTAGCTTTTTACAATACTATGATGTTTTTATCTGTATTTATTAAAAATATATTTAAAAATAATTTAAAATCTAATATGTAGTAAAAAGTTATATTTTATGATTATGAAATTATGATAAAAAGTTAAACAAAATCGAGGAGATTGATCTGTTGTCACAATACTCATTTGTCATGGAAATACACCTCTTACCAGATGTATTTCCAACTTTTACCACTAGATAGCGAATGCCAAACTATAAGTAAGTTCTACCTCAAAAGATATAAAGGCGAGGTATATGCCTTATTCATTGCACCCAGTGATGAGAATCCGATGAGGCTACAAAAAATTTCATTTTCATGAAGTTGTATGTCATCTATATCGTTTATACAACTATGCCCAAGATTCTCAGTCGGCAGTCAGCCATTGTATTTCTCGTTCCGGTTCCAATGTTTGTTTATATTTTCAAAATTCGTTCGGCTTTATGAGTCACGTTTGGCATTTCCAATAGTAATAGGTACGTAATTTTTATAGTGCGACTGAAAAATCGTTATTAGAGGAACTAGCAAGTTTGAAGAAAAAATGTAAGACAAATAAAATTAAAAAATAAATCAGTACTTATTGTAGGTGCTGAAGGTTCGGGCTGTCCATCGTCTTTATATTTAGCTAGTGTAAGTATTGTTCACATAAGTATTTTTAATTACGATGACATAAAACTCAAAATATTTATCAAAAATTGTGAAAATTAAGTATTTAGAATTAATAAATTGTGTTGTTATTTTCAGTAAATACTCTTTATGCCTCAATACATCCTCAGTATTCAGCATATTTATATTTAGTAACATCAATATCACAATGGCCAAAGGGATTGCTTTAAATCATATACTAGTTATCTAAATCATTAGAATAACTGTTCTCGAAATCATTAGAAATCTCATATTCAGTCATAAGTTGCCAACTTTGCTGGAAGTAGTTCTAGAAGTCCTTGGAAATGCATTCTCAGCAAGTGCTCTCTTTTAGCTTGAACTCATGATGGTTGGCAAAATTCACAAGTTCAAGGGTGTAGCATTAATAATACCAAGAATTCTCATTTCTGTTAAACTTCTAGTCCTTTTATTAGTTATTAGAGAATCTGTGATACTACTGAATGCTGGAGAAAATTCCACCGACACATCTGATTTTAGCACTTTCGGTTTTCTCTATGGAACCATTCCTACTGCTTCAGCTTTATTTATTTTCACACTGCATTATAATAATGATATTGATCTGATTGTTTCGCCTATGGTTGAGTGTACTATCGTGTCTGCCCCTTTGATGTTTATATGAGCAAAATTAATAAGTGCTATTAAAGGAGAAGTATCACCTGCTGATGAAGGTAAGCGAACTTAAAAATTTCAAACATATTGTTAGTGAATATCTTATTTCACACTTATTATGTGAATGCTTTGTAGTTGAAAAGGTTGGTGGAAAAGCTCTACCATGTATAGTTGATGTAAGAAATGAAACTCAAGTTGCCAATGCCGTTAAAAATTCAGTGGATGAATTTGGAGGAATTGATATTCTAGTCAATAATGTCAGTGCAATTTCTCTGACTGATACTTTGAATACTGAAATGAAGAGATATGACCTCATGAATCAAACTAATGCAAGAGGAACTTTTCTAGTGTAGGTTGAAGAGTCTTGTTTCTTATATCTTTTATAAAAAATATAATTTTATAGGTCAAAGCTTTGTCTACCTCATCTGTAGAAAAGTAAAAATCCACACATAATCAATATAAGTCCACCTCTGAGTATGCATCCAATCTGGTTCAAGAATCATATTGCCTATACAATAGCAAAATATGGTATGTCTATGTGCGTTCTTGGTATGGCAAAGGAATTCAAAGATTAAGGAGTTACTGTTAATGCTCTGTGGCCTAAGACTGGTATTAATTATTATATTTAAAACTTAATTTTTTTTATAATTAGTTTAGTTAAAACTCATTTATTTTGTTTTTTTCAGCTAACCATACTGCAGCCATGGAAATATTGGCAGATTCAGAATCAGCGAGAATTAGTCGGAAACCAGAAATTCTAGCTAATGATGTTTATGCTATTATGTGCAAGGAGAGTAAAGATGTGACTGGCAATTTCTCCGTGGATGAAGATCTATTGAAGAATGAAGGTGTTAGTGATTTTGTTCAGTATGCTTGTGATCCATGTCTGCAATATCTTATAAATTGCTAATTTTGTGGAATTATATTGTTTTTAATAACAAATTTTATTTTTATAGCAAATGTTGATAACCTTATGCTGGATTTCTTCCTAGATGTAGATAAAATAGACCCAAGAATGGTTGAAAAAGAAGTGCAATGGCATCAGAAATTAAGTCAAGCAAGTGAAGGAAGTGGTGGAAAAATTGA